GGGCGGCCCCCATCAGGCGGATGGTCGAGAGTTTCGGTGCGTTCGAAGGGGCGCTGGACGCGGTGCACGAGCAGGCGGAGTCCATCCAGGCGGAGATGACGAATGCGCGGCACGCAGCGAACCAGCCGGTGGCCATGTCGGCGCAGATCGGGGCCGCAGTCGCCGCGATCTTGCAGGCAGCCAACTAGGCTGCCTCCTCCTCGTCGGGCGGCGGGTCGAGAGATCGGGGCGGCAGCGGCAGCGCGACCACTCCGACTACCTCGACGACGGAGGTGCAGGAGGAATCGCCGGTCCACCCATAGGAGATCATCTGCGGCCACCTTGCGCTTGCCGCCACGAGCACCAGCGCTGCGCCACTTCGTTAGGTGGCGGCGCCACCAGTGAGGGGCTCGAGAATTTCCCCGGTTGCCCTGGGCCCCACCATGCAACGGGGCCTCGACGGCTTCAGCTTCCCCGTTGGATTTCCTTTTGCTAATTCGCCAGGCGAGATTATCGCTGCCGCGGCTGCGCGCGGAACTTGCAGGAGCTCATGCCTCGAGAGCGCCCTTGGATCGCGGTTTGACGGGGGCAGTTTCAAGGGCGATCACGAGGTGGCCCGGGCCGCAGAAGTCCGAGAAGCTTTCGAGCAAAACGCGCAGCAGGTGGGGGGCCGCGGGGGGGCCCGCGGGGGCCGCGACCAAGCGGGCGCCCCAGGGGGCCAGGGCCGCCTTCGCAGGGGGCTTCTCGTCGCCAAGGATCGCCCCCGATGAAGGAGAGCTCGGGGCCATTATCGGAGATCGACCAAGTCTGGATCGCCCGCGCGGACGGGGGGTGCCCAGTGCGAACCGCGCTCGCGACTTGGGATCAGATGCGCCGAGAGGACCGCGATGTGATCCGGCTCGTCCCCGAGTGTCGAGATCGCCGCGAGTCGAGGCGATGGCGCGGGGTGGTGTTGGAGGGTTTCATGCGCCCCGCTCCGCGCGCGGAGGTTGCCTTGCATCAGCTTTCCAGGGGGCGCTTTGTATCGAGCACCCATCGCGCGCTGGCTCGCGAAAGACTGAGGATGTCAGACTCGCGGCATCGCTGTCGGGATTCCAGAGCAAGGTGCGACTGCGCGCCCTGGGCGGCCGCTGGCGCGCCTGCGAGCGCAGGCGCGCCATTCTGGGAGGGGGCCATCAGACAGCCCGTCAATGGCCACGAGAGCCACGCCCGAGCAATGGAGCGGCGTTCCCCAGAAGGTCAGGCCCGCCAGGACCGAGTTCGACGGCGCGGATTCCCCAGAGGGAGACGCGGAAGAAGTGGCCCGTCTCCCCGCCGTCGCGGAAGCAGCTGGAGACGAGGTTAGCGACGACAGCGGAGACGAGCCTGAGACTCGCCCCGCGGCTCGAGGAAAATCCGGCACCAGCGAGGGCCAGGGGCCGCGCGAGAGCGAGAAGCGTCGTCTCTACTAGCTGCGTGTGAATGCGGGCCACCCTGCCCTGATCCTCGCAATTTCCGTCGTGTTCTCCGCGCTGGGCGGGTCAAGGACATTTGGTTCGCCGGGCCCGCGAGGGCTTTCGATGTTCTGAGCGCGGGGAATAGCGACGGTCTGGAAGACATCGTCGGGTTGCCTTTTCCCGGGATTCCGGTTTCATCACATCGTTGGTATAGACTTGTTCCATGTGGAGTTCCAGGGGCCTTGGCGCCCGTTCACTCACGTCGAGGATCGCGGAAGCAACTTGCATGTCTGCGCGGGGGAGATGAGGTTCGAGCGGGGGCTGTTCAGGCGGGGTTTGACTTGCTGGATCAGGCCCCGGGGGGGCCACAATTTGCCCCCCACGGGCGGAGGTTCCGAGTCCAAGGCCAGGTTTGCCCGGGGCCTGAAACAATGGGGCGCTGACTCTCCGCGGGTGGGGCGTCGCGGATGGTGGGCGAAGGATCGAGTCGAGCTCGAGTTGGAGCCAGGAGGGAGTACGCCGGCCAAGCTAGATGACTTGGATACGCGTGTAAATGAGCCCACTGCGCGCAGAATTGGGGCCGGGTTTTCACTTTTGCAGCTCCCGTTCGGGCAGCCCCCCCGCTTCCCTCGCGACCTTCAATGGCGACGCTCACGGTCTTCTGGGGCGGCGGAGCATGGCGAGACCTCCAGGGGGGCAAGGCGCGGCCGGTGCCGATTTCGCTGGGCCGCAGGAGATCAGCGCTGCAGCCAAGACACTGCGCGTGGAGGCCACGTCTCTCGAGAAGATCAGCCGCGCCTCGCGAGCCAAGACCACCGACGCTGGGAGGGCGATTAATTACGGGAGGAGACGGGATGGATGGGCGGGGCCCGGCGGGGCGGCCCTGGCCGAAGGGGGGCTGTTCGGGTTGCGGTTAGGGCCCAGCTATGGAAATTCCCGACAGAGCAGATCCGCCCGGCCAGCGCTGACGAGGAGCACCGCCAGTCGGCCAAAACCCCGGGGGGCAAGAGCCCCTCAAACTGTTTGCACGCGTGGAGCTACGGCCGCGGGCGCGCAGCAGGGGGGCCCTCCTTCCGAAGATACTTGGGGCGAGGCAGTCAGTCAGGATCTCGACGTTGCCATCGGGCCCCCAGTCCAGAATGGCCGACCCTCAGGAGGAGAACCAGCGATGACCACAGGCATCTCCGTCAGTGGTTGGGCTGTTGCCCAGAGTCACCTCTCATTCACCTTTCCCCGCCGCGTCGTTTCCTGTTTCAAATCCCCCGCGAAGAACGGCCCCTAGGTCCGACGAAGGTTCAGCCGACGCTCGGTTTGAATATGAAACAGTTCGTCTTCCATCAAGCGTCGAGGAGGGTTCCAGCCTGGTCAGCGACGCCGAGCAGGCGCCCGAACATGAGGCTAGAGCCCCAGGGAACCAAGGCGATCCCCTCCGCGACCCCCCCCCCCCCCCCCCTCGCAGAAGGCCCAGGCCAGGCAGGGGAAGTCAGAGGCCGACCTTTCGAGTCACAGGTTCCAGGAGCTAGGAGGGGACTTGCGCTGCCTAGCGCATGGTAGCCAGGGCGAGGTTTTGGACGTGATGCTCCTCGAGGTCGACGATTTCTTCATTGGTTCTTCGACCCCAAAAATACGAGCCCTGTTGAGGAGTCGTCTGGAATCGCGTTTTCGTTCCGGCAAGTGCACTAAGTGCTGCGAGGTGCCAGTGGGTTTCGCGGGGCGACGCATCGCGCTCGGCCCCAACAAGGCCACTGTCGACATGGATAAATATCCAGGAGGAGATTCGGCCACTGTCAGTTGCCCAGGGACGACTCTCACGGAAGGATTCACCGCTGGAGCCCGTGGAGTTCAAGGCGCTTCGTTCGCTCGTCCACAAGTTTCACAGGATTGGACGAGCAGCTTGACCAGAAGCCGCCGGTGTTGCCACCATCCTTACCAGCCGTCTGAGAAGCCCCACAACCGTCGACATTCCCTCTTGCAAATAGCTCGCGAAGCGCCTTCGTTCATTAGCCTCATGAGGGCTAGTCGTGCGGAAATCGGATCCGGAGAAGACTTCGCTTGCGTCGTTTTCGGGTGCGGGAGGAGGTGGGCCCTGCGGAGATCTGCTTTGGGAGAGCGGTCTACCAGACGATTTCACGCAAGGCGCCTGGATGGCTCTGGCGTGCGATTCCAGCGCTTTAGCCATTCTGTCAAAAGGCGTCCACTTTAAGATGGAGGAGTTCGAAGCTCAGGGGAAAAGTGCCGCCAACCCTTGCGGGCGACATTCAAGATTCAACAGCAATTGTAGCAGAAGTAGAGTACCCTTCGATATGATTTCGAGACGTGACGTTTCGCGATGTGACCGCGCGTGACAGCCATCGCCGGGGAGGACATTTGATTACAGCCTGGGAGAAGGAAGTGTGCCCCCAGTTTTAGAGAACAGTAAATACACGTAGTAGGCGCCAAATGTTCTATGGCACGAGTCAGCAAAAAAAGGGTCATTGTAGCGCCAAACATAACGGAACGGCCGTCGATTTGGCCATCATCTTTGAGGCCTTCGACACAGTTCGTGGCAATATTCGTTGGATCCATGACGGCCGCATGCCCGTCCATGCCCTCACAAATGCCGGCATCACGAAGTGTAGTGCAGCGCTGTTCGAGTTGATGACCAGTGGTAGATCTTGGTAAACGAGGGCCTGGAGGCAGCCAGGAGCAAGGACGACCCCGCTCTCAAGAATCGTTACCAGGAGGCCGCCAGAGGGGTGCTGGGTAGCGGCCATGTCCAGATCTCCTGGGATGAGCTCGCGGCTCAGGGATCCGATGGTGTTGGTGGTGGTGGTGGTGGTGGTGGTGGTGGTGGTGGTGGTGGTCGGTCGGGTTCCTACGTCCTTCCTTCTCCACCTCTCGCTCTCTCTCTCTCTCTCTCTCTCTCTCTGTTTTGCCCATCCTCTCACTGGTCCCAGTCGTTTCCTTGCCACTTCTTGTGCTGATGCCGTTAGCTATGATTGTCATGCTGTTTTGCTTCGCCGCCATTCGACTTCAGGGGTGACGGAGGCAGCGAGGTCTCCACAGGGAGAGTTTCTCTACATAGCTTGCACCACCAAGCGTGCCCCATATTGTTCTCGCCGCACTCACGCACCATCGACTACACCACTGACCTGAGACCACACAGCTGACACACACACACACACACGCACGCACGCACGCACGCACACAAACACATACACACACACACACACACACATGCACACAAACTCACACACACATACACACACACACACACACTCACACACCCACACACCGTGCAGTGCAGTCGGCTTTGATTAGCAGGGTGACCCTGTGAAATCACGGGTGCGCGTGTGTCTCTTGCTTCCCACGTTCCTATGGCAGTGTGGCCCTCGGAAGGGTCTCGTGCCCTCTTCGCGTGCCCTGTCCGATCTTAGGTCGGGCATGTCCCCCTACAGGTGGATTTTGGACGAAAAATCAAACATACCCCAAAACTATTCAAAAAATCGTCCCCGTATTGTTTCCTGTGCTTGAATGTTCCCCCTGTCAAGGCACAGGCCCGACGTAAGTCCAACTGAGCCCGGCTGTGGCCCGCTCACCGCAGAGGAGGTGCGACGCAACGCCACCGCCCAGCTGCTGGAGCAGCTGCGCCTGCCTCGCCTGCGCTCCGCGGTGGCGCCGGCAGGCGGCCCCGGCGCCCTTCAGCGCTCTCCTCCTCCTCCTCCTCCTTCTTCTCCTCCTCCTCGTCCTCCTCCCTCCTCCTCCCTCCTCCCTCCTCTCCTCCTCCTCCTCCTCCTCCTCCTCCTCCTCCTCCTCCTCCTCCTCCTCCTCCTCCTCCTCCTCCTCCTCCTCGCCCGTCAGCTCCATCGGGGGCGGCCAAGAGGGGGGTGGTGTCCAGGGGGCGTGGATACCATGGCGTGGGCCATGGTAGTTCCTCAGGTCGCATGGCGCCTCTTCTTGCTTCATTGCGTCCCTGGCCCTGCCCCTGGGCCGCGCACATGCCGCCGGCCATGATTTGCGCCCCCCCCCCTTTTGGACGCTCCCCTCTTGGCCGCCCACGACTCCAGGGGCACCGCAGGGGGGGGAGGGGGACAGGCTTAAGTCGGGCCTGTCCCTCTACAGGGGGAAAATTCAAAAACAGTCAAAAGATAGTCCGGGGACGATTTTGTTTGAAGTATTTGTTCGGCCATTGTTGGAGTTTTTTTAGCGTTTGTTGTTTGATTTGTTCTTCCAAAATCCGCCTCTAGGGGGACATGCCCGCCGACCTAAGGATAGGCGAATGAGGGGGATGTTCGGTTTCGAGGTTTTATGTCTGAGGGCATTTCAGGACGGGGCCAGGACGAGGATAAATCCGTTCCATTGCTTTCCAGAACGCTCTCGTCTCGGAGCGTTCCGCAGCGCTCTGAGAAGGCCGCGGCGCCCGAGACGAGACATCTTCCACAGCCGCCAGATCTCAGAGTTTCTCGATTTATTCCACCTGAATTGATTCTCGTCCTGGTTTCGTCTTGCCGCCCCAGGGCGAAGTTCGGCTTCGAGGTTTGAGGTTTGAGGGCATTTTCGTTGGTCCCTGGCGCTCTTCCAACCTCGGGGCGCTCATCAGCAGCTGCGCCTCGCCTAGAGTTTTCCAGGGGTGCCGGGATCGTCCCGAACGACCGCCAGAAAGCCGAGGTACGATCCGAAAACCAAGGGGCACCGTGAGGGGTGGGCATGCATCGACGCCAGCGCCCATTCATTCGAAGGACAATGAATGGCATAAGCATAATTTCTCGGAGTTCCGCGCAGATCTCGTGGATCGACGCTGGGTTCCCCTGGCGGCACCTCCAGCGCGCCGCCTCTGGCACGCTCCTTGCACCAGGAAGGGGGGTCCAGCGCCGATCCAAGAAATCCGCGTAGACCTCGAGAAAGTATGTTTATGCCGTGTCGGTTCCCTGATTTATCGCCGATGCGGAGCCGGTAGACCTCATCAGCCCAGGAACCTGCGGATTCGCCAATCTATCAGCGATGTATCGCCGATTCCAGCCCGATGTTTCCCCCTGAACCAGTCCCCCCTTCCTGTTCTCCCTCATCAATGGGACTTGGCATGTCCTTCTACGATCAAAGACGTTGTCGACGACGACGTCATCGTTGATCATGCGCGCAGGGCACGCGTCGGTGCTCCTGGTTCCTCCTCGCCCAGGGCCGCCTGGGGCCCGCAATGGTGCCCACCAGCCTGTTTGTCCGTGACTGTCATGGCTGGGGCTCCTTGTCATGCCAGGCTTCCTCGCTTGGCGGCGTCCTTCTTCAAGGCGATGTCGATGTCGGCATCGTTGTTTGGTATGCTGCTGGCCGTCTCTCAAGGCTCTCGTCGCCACGGCCCAGGACAGACCTTGATAACGGTCTGGGGGCCAGTATTGAGCGGATGCTAGGAACATATCCGTGAGCTGTCATGCTTGCCAAGTTGAGCCAGGTTCATGCGAGCGAAGTGCAGCCGAGGTAATGTCAGCGAGCCCAAATTCAAGACGCGAGCCATACACCGTACGTACGACATCCAAGATGAGGTCAGGTGCCAAGCCTAAAGAATTGCAGCGCCTGGCGCATTTGACTGTGTTCACATCCTGCTAAGTTTCACCCTGCCATACCACAGCATTTGCCAAACGGTGCCCCAGACACCAGGCGGGCAGCCAAACCGCCCGTTGCCGCGGGCAACCAAATCCTCTGTTGCCTCAGCTGCCGACCTTTCTGCTATCGTAGGGAGTCCTTGTATCGTCCGCTCTCTCTTGGGAGAACCGATTGGGGCTCCTCCCGACATCCCCGTCGTCTCCACAGCTTCGTCAGCACGCCCGCACTGCAAGCGGCCCCCTGAGATTATGTTGGGCGTGTCCCCTACAGGGGGATTTTCGAAATATACCCCAAACATGCCCCAAAAAGGCCGAAACCTATTCAAAACATAGTCCCCTGCTTTATATTCCTCTTCCTATATTTTTACAAGCCCGGGCGGGGGAAAAACCCATCACCCCCCCTCCCCCCCAAAACTGGACTCCCGGGATCTGGGGCTTTGGGACCCTTCGGACGGGCCTCGAAGCGGCCCCCCGGGGCCTGGCAGGGCGTTTTGCCAAGCCTTCGCAGCACACCTAGGGCGATCAGGGGGGTCATCGGAGACGTCCTGGAGAACCCTAAGACAGCACAAGAGCGCTCAAAGAAGCCGTCATACCCCGAAAGATCGCTCCAAAACGTACCAAGAGGCCTCCAAGAGCACCCCGAAGAAGGCCCCAAGAGGGACACATCATTGATTTAAGGTAGGTGTTTGGTAAATTTGGGGTTCTCATCTTTTCGGCTTCCCGACGCTCCAAGACAGCAGTCTTCTGGGCGTCCGAAGTCGCCTGGGAGGCTCCAAAATCGCCCCAAAGCCGTCCGAAAGGGCTTCCAGGCAGTCCAAGAGAGCCCCAAAACGGCACACCAGGGGTCCAAAATGGCCCCAAGAGAGCCCCATGGCGGCCCGAGATGGCCCCAAGACACCCTCCGAAGCATTCCAAATCGTGACCGGGGCGTTCAGGGAGACCGCGGTTACAGGCAGGTTGGCTTTAGGAAGCCCCAGAGGCCCCCAGAACACGCCCAGGAGGCCTCCAGAAGGCTTTAAGAAAGCTTGAGAACTTTGGTGAGGCTCCCAGAGGCTCTCCAAGGAGGAGCCTCCGCAAAAAGAGCTGAGGAGAATGGGGAGAATGCCCAGGGTATGGCGAGAATGAGGAACAATAATCATGGATGAAGGATAGCGAACAACATTATTATATCGGCGATGCCAGAAAAGGCAGCAAGGAGTTATTGTTAAAGTGTCCGCTTGACCTTCCTGCCTTTTCTGCCTGCATAGCAATCTTCAAGGACCAAGGTGCATGGCACGAAGCGTCACTGCAGTCTGGTATATATATATATATATATATATATATATATATATAGATTCCTCATCCTATATGCTACCAAGCCCGGGCGGGGGGAACCCGTCCCCCCCCCAAAACCGGACACCTGGGATCTGGGGCTTTGGGACCCTTCGGACTGGCCTCGAAGCGGCCCCCCGGGCCTGGCAGGGCGTTTTGCCAAGCCTTCGCAGCACACCTAGGGCGATCAGGGGGGTCATCGGAGACGTCCTGGAGAACCCTAAGACAGCACAAGAGCGCTCAAAGAAGCCGTCATACCCCGAAAGATCGCTCCAAAACGTACCAAGAGGCCTCCAAGAGCACCCCCAAGAAGGCCTCAAGAGGGAAACATCATTGATTTAAGGTAGGTTTTTGGTAAATTTGGGGTTCTCATCTTTTTGGCTTCCCGACGCTCCAAGACAGCGGTCTTCTGGGCGTCCGAAGTCGCCTGGGAGGCTCCAAAATCGCCCCACAGCCATTCGAAAGGGCTTCCAGGCAGTCCAAGAGAGCCCCAAAACGGCACACCAGGGGTCCAAAATGGCCCCAAGAGAGCCCCATGGCGGCCCAAGATGGCTCCAAGACACCCTCCGAAGCATTCCAAATCGTGACCGGGGCGTTCAGGGAGACCGCGGTTAGAGGCAGGTTGGCCTTAGGAAGCCCCAGAGGCCCCCAGAACACGCCCAGGAGGCCTCCAGAAGGCTTTAAGAAAGATTGAGAACTTTGGTGAGGCTCCCAGAGGCTCTCCAAGGAGGAGCCTCCGCAAAAAGAGCTGAGGAGGATGGGGAGAATGCCCAGGGTATGGCGAGAATGAGAAACAATAAGCATGGATGAAGGATAGCGAACAACATTATTGTAACGGCGATGCCAGAAAAGGCAGCAAGGAGTTATCGTTAAAGTGTCCGCTTGACCTTCCTGCCTTTTCCGCCTGCGTAGCAATCTTCAAGGACCAAGGTGCATGGCGCGAAGGGCCACTGCAGTCTTGTATACACACATAAATATATATGTATATATATATATATATATATATATATATATGTATAGGTAGTTGTTTTGTGGGTTTTTTTTTGATTTTTCTGTGAAAATCCCCTTATTAGGGGCACAGGCCCGACTTAACCCTGAGAACCGAAGGTGTCCTTGGCAGGGGGGGCAGGAGCTGGCACTCCCCATCGCCCGGCCCCCCCGCCACAGACGAGCCGTGGCGAAGCGTCTTGGTTCGCCTATAGCCCTACCAAACAATGTGCTAAGAAACTTTTGTGGTTTCCACGAAGCGTTCTTAGAAGATTTCTGGCAGAGTCTGTCTTGTTTTATCACATCGGGTTTATGTTCTAAGAACATTGTTTTTGTTATTAGAACATTTTTGGGTCTTAAGAACATTTCGTGGTAGGACTATTAGGAATGCCGGGACGGTCGGTCCCTGCTCAACACAGACAAGCCGTGGTGCGCTGTCCTCCGCGTGCACGGCGCGGGTGGCTTTGCAGACCGCAGGCGCGCTGGCCTGGGCGTATAGGCGCCCCCAGCGCCGGGCTCGCCGCGCTTCCCCGGCGCGTCTGCCTGCTCTCCCCGCAGGAGAGGCTGGGAGTTGGAGCCCCCTCTTCCCCGAGCTCCGAGCGTCGGGGCAGGGCGGGCGCCGAGGAGGAAGTCCTCGCGAGAGGAGAGGGTCAGAGAGGGTCCCGGGCTTCGGCGCGCCTGCTTCCCGTGTCCCACCGCCACCGGCCTGTTGCAGATGCCCGCTGGCCGTAGACACGCCAACGGCGATGCAGTGAACGGCGATGTAAGTTTCGGTTTTGTGGGAACGCGTGGCTCGTGCTTTCCAGCAGTTCGCTGTGTCGTTTTCGTTCGATACGTTCGCATGTCCGGAACGTAGGAAAGTGTTGTTCGTGATTTCTTACATTGTAGTTCCAACACCACCGTTAAGCAACATCGCCGTGAGCGCGGCCTTGGGATGGCCTCGCTTCTGCGAGCGCGCGGGACGGGCGGCCCGGGAGGAGCGGGCGGGACGAACGGCCTGGGGCGACGGGGCGGTGTTGAGTGCCCCTCCCGTTGTGATCATCTGCTGTCCTTCGGCCCTCCCCCCCTCGTGCCCGGACGCTTCTGAGGGGGGGCCCCTGAGGCAGGCGGCCGAGGAGGTGGATGTAAGGAGGAGGGCATAGGGGGGGGGGCATGGAGGAGAGCAGGCAGTTGTTGGCGAACGGCCCAGCCTTATGCAGCTGCGTGTACCGTTGGGCGTATCCGTGTGAGGGATGCGCGGGTGGGCGGCATGCGCGGTGGCGCACAGTCGTCGCAGGTGGAGCTATCTTTGGTTACGCGGGGCGGGATAGCGGTGTGCCGAAAGGGGGGCAGACCGGCAAGCGCACGCGCTTGCCGGGACCGAAACGTGTGAGGGACGTGCCGATACGAGCGTTGGGCGACGTGCGAACGCGTCCGTTGGGGAGGCAGGTGGAGTTGCCTATGGGTGGTCTCAGAACGCGCTGTGCAGAAAAACTGGCTTGGGGTGGCATGCGCGAGCGCCCACTGGGACCTTAGAAGCGGCGCCCCGATCTGTGCGTGGCCCAGCATGGGCCCACTCACTAGGGCCGCGCGTTGAGTTCGGAAAAGAGCACTGAACGTGTCAGGGGTGCGCTGAAATGTGCGCGGGGCGGCATGCGCATCCACCCAGAGGAGCCGCAGGTGGGGCTCCTTGTGAGGGGGGTCACCGATCGTGCAAAGGCGTGTGCCGACAGGGCGCGGGCGATGTGCGCGCGCGAGCCCACTGGAGCCGTATGCGGGGCTCCCCAAGCACGAAGCGTGTGATGGGTGTCCGCCCCCAAGCAGTTTTTGGGGCTTCTGGCCTTTTCTGCGTGTCTGCAGGTCTCCCAGCGCCAGGGCGACGACAACGACGACGAAGAAACGTCGTCCGGATCGAACAGGGCTGCTCGCCATAATTATTAAGCAGTGACAAAGCGTTCTGACTTGCCGATCGGCCCACCAACGAATGTTCTCACAACCCTGTGCATTTGAAACGGGATACCCTTCGAACGTTTCTGGGTGAGAGAGTCTTTCCTTAATCCACCAGCTAAATGTCCTAAGTACACTGCTCTTGCTTTGAGAGCATCCTTCTATTCTAAGAGCATTGTGATCGTTTTCTTATTCATTGTTCAACCGATCTGCGCGGGCCCTCGCTCACCCCCTTCCCCCCCCACAGAGTAGATCTTGACTGCTTTTGGCGCCTGTTTCGAGCAGGCGGAGGCTCCCCAACAGGACGCACTGCTGCAAGCAGTCGCATTCAGCAGAGGTCCGGAGCCAGACACCCCCCTCCCCCTTCTGCCCAATGCCCAATCGCCGAATCAGAGAACGTTGACATTTCGTGGACGACCCAGCCGGGATGGCCGGCCCTTTCTCAGAACTGCCGCCAAGGCGGCGAGAGCTTTCGCGCAGCCGACGGCCTCGCCGCGTCGGGTCGCGACGAGCGCGCGCCGGCGGCGCGCCGCGGCGCTCTCCGGCGCACGCCGTGCGCCTGCCCGCGACGGGGTTGCTCAGGGGCTGCCGGCGGGGGCGGCACCCCGCCCGGCGCTCCTCGAGTCGAGGGTCGCGGATCGGCGGACGATCGAGGATCGATCGATCGATCGAGGGTCGAGGGCGAGGACTCTGACGTTCCAACCTACTCTAGACTTTAGCTTCGATCACCAGGAATTACTTCGAGCACCAAGGAAGTAGCGAACCTGGAGGGTGTTCTCGTGTCGGGCCCTGGGAGGCGATACACGCTCGACACTCTTTTGATACTTTGATGGGTGCTCGAAAGTATTTCAGGGACGTGACCTTTAAGTACGATGGGAACAACATAAGGCGAGGATCGAGGGCGGGGATGTGTAGAAGTGCGGAGTGCGACGAGGGAGGCCGTGTGGGCCCAGGCTTCGACAGGGAGGCTGCCCGAAGAGCAAAGATCTGCGTAAACATTGATGGTTGGAGCTCCGCGCGGATCCCTTGGATCGGCGCCGGGCCCTCAGCTCCTGTGTCCTCTAGCTACGGTGACGTTGAGGCCACGCAGGACTCGATGGGCGCCCTCGGGACCCGGGCTGCTGCAATGCATCAGGAGCTCTTTCCTCCAGAGAAGAGTCGGGGAAACGTAAGACTCGAGTAAGCAGGAACTCGGGTTCGCCGACGATGCTTGACGAGCGCGTCCTGGATTTTGACGGCCCCGTTTTCGTGGGGCGTCTGCGTCAAATTTCAGACTTGGCCTCGCCAATTTTGTGATGGCCCCCGTCAGGCCAACCCGAGTCCCCCGTACCCGAGTCTTGCGTCTCCCCCAGAGAGACCGGGCGCCCGCAGACGAGCCCGCGGGCGCGGGCGCGGGCGCGGGCGCCGGCACGGACGCAGGCGCCTGCCGGGAGCAACTCGTGGTCGGCACGTGCTCTCTGTCGATCCGGCGTGCTTCTTTCTGCTGGGAGGGAAGAGGGGGAGGGAGGGGGGGGGAGGGAGAGGGGGGGGGGGGGGAGGGGAGGGAGAGGGGGGGGGGGGGAGGGAGAGGAGGGGGGGAGGGAGATGGGGGGGGGGGGGAGGGAGAGGGAGGGGGAGGGGAGGGGAAGGGAGGGGGAGGGCGGGAGGGGGAGGGAGAGGGAAGAGGGGGAGGGGGAAGAGGGGAAGGAAGGGGGGGTGAGTGGGAGGGAGAGGGGTGGAGGGCGGCGCGGCGTGCCGTAAGGAGTGGTGGGTGGGCGTCGCTGTGGCTGGGCGCGCGAGAAGATCGGGTCGGCAGTCTGTTTTGGTCAGGGCCTTGGGCTTCTCTGAGCATCGGCTCTCTCTCTAGGACCCTCTCCCCCCGACTCCCTTCGCCCCGTGCGCCTTTCCTGCTCCCTCCTCCCCCTCAAACTCCCCTCGCACCCGCCGCCCCCTCCCTTCACCCCTCCTCTTCCTCCCCATTTCCCCCCCCCCGTCCTCCCCCGCCAGGCTGCGTTGGGTTCCGACCAGGTCGCCCTCCCGATCAGGGTCTCCTCCAGGTACAGTGCACCCTCCCGTCGTCCTCTGCCAGCTCGCCCTCCCCCAGTCCTGCGAAGGCCCTCGCTGCCCCCCCCCCACCCCTCCCAGCCCATCCCATCTTCCCACCCTGCCTCCATCCCAGCCTTCGCCCTGAAGGAAGAGGGCTCTGAGTCGTGAGGGGAACAAGTCGTAGACCCCCGAGCGTTCCCCGGGACCAGCTCTTCATCCCGAGTCATTTTCCGATGGTGCTGGGACCCGTGAAGAACCTTGGAGGCCCGAAAGGTAGTCATCCTCTCCAGGCGCCGTCTCCTCCAGGACCCGTCCGTCTCTGCCGTACCCCACATTCCACATATCACGTGTCCCTCTCTCCTCTCCCCGCCACGCCCGCCACGATTACTCGACCTGAATGCTTCTGCTTCTCCCCATCCCTCCCCGGATTCTGTCCGAGCGGATCGATCGCACGTTTGGTGTTCAACGTGTATCTGAACCAGCGTTGACCTCAAACAGTGATGTCTTGCAATCTATGTGGATCAATCGAGGTGGTGCAATTAATGTGGTGCAATCGAGGTCGCGCAATCCATGAGGTACAATATATGTCGTGCACAGCAGTGCAAAGTAAAGCAGTCAAGACCATGCAAAGGCATGCAAAGCAAGGCAAAGCACGGCAACGCAAGGCAACGTAAAGCAGTGCAATGCAATGCAAGGCGATGCAATGCAAAGCAAGGCCAAGCAATACAAGGCAAAGCGATGTAAAGCAAGGCATAGCGATTCGAAACAATGCAAAGCGGGCAAAGCAACGCAAAAAAGGCAAAGCCGCGCAGTACCGAGCAAGGCAAAACAAGGCAATACAAGACAACCTAAGGCAAAGTAAACCAATGCAAAGCAATGCAAGGCGTCGCAATGCAAAGCAAGGCCAAACAATACAAGGGAAAACGATATAAAGCAAGGCATAGCGATTCGAAGAAATGCAAAGCGGTGCAAAGCAACGCAAAAAAATGCAAAACCGAGCAATACCGAGCAAGGCAAAGCAAGGCAATGCAAGGCAACGCAATGCTTGGCTTCAAAGCAATGCAAGGCATAGCTCTGCAAAGCAGTGCAAATCGGTGCCAAGCTATTAAAATCAATCCACATCAATGCGAAGCACTGAAAGTAGCGCAAACCAACGCAAAGCAATACAAGGCAATGCAAGGCAATGGCATGCACTGCAATGCAATGCAAAGCAATACCAAGCAGTGCGGCGCCACGCCAAGCAACGCCAAGCAATGCAAAGCAATGCAAAGCAATGCAACGGGTCGGTGACGAGGCGGCGACGGCGATCACAATGTGGCGAACCCGACAACGGAGCGCAGACGACGAGCTGTGACAAGGCGGCGACGGGGCGGCGCCGGCGACAACGAGTCGGCGGACCCGACAACGGAGCCCAGTTTTTTTAAAAAGCGGAAAGCGCGTTCTGTAGTCGCTTGGAAGGGGGGGGGGGGTTGGAACCGGACCCCCCCCCTTCCCCTCCCTCCCCTCCCTGCTTCCCCACTCCTGGGCCGGCGCTTGCGTCGGCGGGGCGGGGACGATGATTTCCATTTCATTTCTGGGCTGGCGCCGGCCGGCGCCTGCGGCGGCGGGCGGCGGTGGCGGGGAGCGTCGACGAGGACGACGGCGGTGGTGGTGGTGTTGGGTTGTAGTGGTGGTGGTGGTGGCGGTGGTGGTGGTTGTGGTGGTGGTGTTGTGGTGGTTTGTTGTGGTGGTGGTGGTTGTGGCGGTGGGTGGTGGTGCTGGTGGTTTGGTGGTGGTGTGGTGATGGTTGGTGGTGTGGTGGTGGTTTGTGATGGTGGTGGTTGGTTGTGGTGGTGGCGGTGGTTTGTGGACGTTTGTTGTGGTGGTGGTGGTGGTGGTGGTGGTGGCGGTGGTGGTGGTGGTGAGGTGGTTTGGGGTGGTGGCGGTGGGTTGTGCTGCTGGTAGTGGTTGTGGCGGTGGTGGTGGTGGTGTGGTAGATTGTGGTGGTGGTGGTAGTGGTAGGTGGTGGGGTTTTGTGGTGGTGATGGTGAGTTGTGGTGATGGTTGTGGTGGTGGTGGTGGCTGTGGTGGTGGTGGTGGTGGTTGTGTGGTGCTGTTGGTGGTGGTGGTGGTGGTGGTGGTGGTGGGTTGAGGCGGTGGTGGTGGTGGTAATGGTGGTGGTGGTGGTAGTGGTGGTAATCGTCGCTGCGTCCCCGCCGTCGCCGGCGCCAGCGCCGGCGCTGCTGGCCGCCGCCAGTGCCGGCTCCGTCGCGAGGGGGGGGGGGCTTGAATCCCCCCCATCCCCTTGAGCTGCCTCTGGTCATCGTCGCTGCGTTCCCGCCGTGGGCGCTGCTGGCGGCCGCCAGCGCCGGCGCCGGCGCCGAGGGAGGGGGGGGGTTGAACCCTTTCCCCCTGGGAGGGGGGGGGGGGCTCGGGAGGGGGGGGGTTGGGGGAAGGGGGGGTGATGGTTTTGATCGACGGCGCCGGGTGTTGGGGGGGGGCCCACCCCCCGGTTTGAAGCGCGCCGCCGAATGTTCCCAAGGCGAGCGCCCGTGAAGCGCGTTCGCTCAAAAAGACGCAAGAACCCTTAAATGCAGGCGCTGCTTGGGGATCTTGTAATATGCTGTGCCGCCATCTGAATGGCACGTGCGGTTCCAATTTATGTTCCCGCTGCAGCGTTGCCTTCATTTTACATCGGCGCTTTGCTCCCGTCGTTCCGAAAGGCGCTCTCGACCCACCGCGGACCACACTTCAGGATCCGAGCCGTTCGCCTTTCGTACTTGTTGTCGACCTTCACTTCTCCTCATCCCCTGGCCCTCATGACCCCCCCGCTCTTCCTACTGTTCCTGCTGCGGTTGCTGTTCCTCGTCGTCCTCTTTCCTCGTCCTCCTCGTCCTCCAGATCATGCTCCTGCGCATCCCCCAGCTTCTCCAGTCTACACAGATCCCTTTTTTCTGATTGCGCATAACACGATGGGGTCACTCGGGCAGTACCAGGTCGGTCATGACAACCGTTGGCGGATAGAGGCAAAGCAGCGCAATGGTAAGGGCGATCGCACCTAGCTTGCATTCCGTTCCCCGCCCTATGCCTTTGGGGGGTAGGACAGCAGTGGGGCCGGCAGGGAACACGAGTTTCCACTCTGTCTTGCGTTAGGTTTCGCGTCACCTCCCCATCACCTCCGCTTTCTCCTCCCTGTCCTCCTCCCGCTCCTCCCTCTCCCTCTCTCCTTCCCATTCGTTTTTGCTCCTCGCCCTCCGCCGCCTTCCACTTCTCCCCCCTCCTACCCCCCTGGGTTTCTGGGTTTCTGGCATTAGGTGCAGGTCGAGCCAGCTCATCCTACACCAAAGAAAGAAGGAGCGAGGAGGCTCGTCCTCCCGCTCCTGGCGCCTCGGACGCGCCCGCGCCTGCGCGTCCACCGCCACAAGCGTGCCGAACTTCGGTGGCACGATAAAGCGGGACGGGCGGCGCTCGCTCTCTCCCCCCCACAGCTGCTCTCTCCCTCGCCACCACTCCAGGATGCTGGAACTTCCCAGCTCTGGGCTCCCTGCTGCAGGGAAAAAGATGGAGTAGGATGGGGCTCATGGGCTCTCCCAACCTAGAACGTCGTTGTTGACTCCACCACCTCCACACCCCCCGCAACACCTCACCCACCCCCAACCACTAGTCCAGCACTGGCCTGAGAACAAATCACTACCCAGCCGCTAGGACACAAAGTGGGGAGGAGGGGAGGGTAGGAGGATAAAGGTGTAGGGCGAGGGAAGGGGCGGGGAAAGGGTGGCCAATGACTAGAGGGTGCCACTGCGTAGGGCAGCCTCCAGACCCTCGAGCCTGTCTAAAAGCATCAGGCGGGTGTCATTGGCCACGTCAATGTGGGCGTTGAGCCTGTACAGAATTCTCTCCGCCTCGGCCAGAGAATGGTCAGTTCCCTCTGTGGGCGGGTCATCGCCTCTGAGGCGGTCTATGTTCTGAGAAGCCTCATGGGCCTGGTGGACCAGGCCAGCCAACATACGCAAGACTGCAGAAAGCTCCCTGTGGGCTTTCTTTAGGCCCTCATTCAGACGCCTCAGAACAGCCTCCGCTTCTCGGAGCTCCACATCCTTGCCGACTGGGGGGTCCTGGATGCGACTTCCATCGGCCGAGCTTGCACTCATTCCTTGGGTGGGGCGCAAGCCGGTGCAAAAAGGCCTGAGGAGCACGAGGCTGCGGAGGGGACGGAGTGGGGGCGGTGGCGGGGGACCGCCACGATGGGAGGGGGTAGGTGACGAACTCCTCCTCCGCCAGTGCTCCTCCACCAGAGGCCTATACGTTTAACAGCATTAAGAATTTCCACGCTGCCTGTCTCGTTTCCCCAGCCCTCGTCTGGGAGTTGGATACTGGCTGCCAGCGGGCGGTCCCATTGGCGAGTGCATTCCGCTCCACTGGCTGCTGAGATCTACCTCGACTCTTACAAGCTGATGACGAGGGCCACATCTACAAATGCCGTACTTAACATGGGCCTCATGGCCCTGTCCTCCTACTCAATGGAAGAACCTTAGACCCCCCACGTCCACAAACCAGCACTGGCCTGAGAATATTACCAGTCCAGCCTCGGACAGAAAGTGGGAAGGGGGGAGGAGGGCAAAGTTGAGTAAGGTCCTCTAAGGGGACGAGGGAGGGGAGGGGATGGGAGTTGGATACTGGCTGCCAGCAGCGGTCCATTGGCGAGTGTATTCCGCTGCACCGCTGGCTGCTGAATTCTCCCTCGACTCTTACGAGGCTGATGAAAGAATCCATATCTACAGATGCCGTACTTTACTTGGGCCTCTTGGCCCTGTCCTCCTCCACAATGGAAGAACCTTAAACCCCCCACAGCCACAAAGCAGCACTGGCCTGAGAGTATTCACAGTCCAGCCTCGGACAGAGAGTGGGAAGGGGGGGGGAGGAGAGCAAAGTTGCAAAGGAGATAGACGAGGGAGGGGAGGGGAGAAAGTGGCCACTGCCTTGAGGGTGCCACTGCGGAGGGCAGTCTACATACCCTCGAGCCTGTTCGATATACCAACGGGTGTCATTGGCCACTTAAGTTGGCGTTGAACCTTTCAGAGATCTCTCCCCCCAATCCTCGAATGACTCCTCCACTCACATCACAAACAAGATAAAATCAAATTAACCTGCCCAGGGCATTCCTGAGGAGAAAACGGCCAGGTCACTAGACGGCCTCAAAGTCTGAAAAGTGGCAAAATATCCACAGCAGAGTGCGCTCCGCAAGTGAGTACACGAAGCAGAACGTCACGAGAGAGACGAGGTCAATGAAGCCGAGATACACCAGGTCGGACGCGACCCACATGTGAGAACCCGAGAGCACGGAGAGCAGGGTGTACTAGTCCTCCAGACGCCTCCAGGGCATGAGGCGCCTCCACCAGAGACACATCCTCGCCGAGAACATCATCCCGCTTCATGAAGCCCTCGAGGATGCCGCGGAGCCCGAGCCGATTAGCACGGGCGAGGACCTCGTCTTCCTTCTCGTCGTCAACGTGTTGAGCGTCATGTACGGAAATTGCTGACTCCTGCACAACACTCCCCAACGGGCAAGATGGCACAGCGCTCCCCTCCTCAGAGCCGCGTATGGCGGGGGGAGGGACCCCGTCCATGGGAAACTGGCGAGCGCCTCCGACAGCGCCTCCACCGTCGTGCGAGACTGCGCCAGGCAATGCCTCACCGCCGTAGCTGCTTCGCGCCTCCAACGGCTCCCAGACACCAGGCCAGAGCACCGAGGGCACCACGCCGCCAGGGAAATGATCGATGAGGGAAGGCTGAAACTCCTGCGACTCCTCCAGGGCAGGAACAGGACGATCAGGAGCCGCCTGGTCGGTCGGCGCCTGCACTTCCGCCACGCCGTACGGGGTGTGCAGCCCGACCCAGAAATCCTCGAAGACCGACGCCATGACCGCGCCTGACGGGGCCGCCCGCAAAGGAGAGGCAGCAGCAGGCGGCGGGGCGTGCTTCGCCCAGTTCCCCTGGGCATTCAGGTCCTCGAACACCTTGAGGTTGAGCTGTGGCGCCAGAGGGCGCGCCGCCGCCAGGGCTTCGCCGAAGGACCGAACATGGGCGCCCATGGCATCGCTGAGCTCCCAATGGCCCTCGAGCGCCGCCCGCAGCGCCAACCGGATGTCGATGGCCTGCGAACGGCTAAGCCCCAGGGCGGCGCGTCTCTCGCGCCGCAGCCGGCGGGCCAGCGTCCTCGCGCTCGCGGACGCCCAGGCCGCGCCATTGCCGGAATGCATGGCCGCTCGCGGTGCCGCGCACCGAGGGCCTGCCGTGAGCCGGGCTCGCTTGAGCCAAAATGGCTACGGACCTCCTACCCCCTCCTCCTCCTCCTCCCCTCCTCCTCCTCTCCTCCTCCTCCTCCTCCTCCTCCTCCTCCTCCTCTTCCTCCTCCCTCTCTGCTCCTCCTCCTCCTGGCTCCTCCTCCTCCTCCTCCTCCTCCTCCTCCTCCTCCTCCTCCTCCTTCTCCTCCCCCTCCTCTTCTTCCTCCTCCAGCCACTGCCACGGCCCAGGCACCCGCGAGCGGCCCACGATCAACACATAATCTGATGCGTGGAACACAGGGCGCTACGACGGGGACGGGGCCGCTCGGGCGGCGACGAGGCACCCCACTCCGCAGTCCGTTACCGTACCCCGCATTTGTTTTTACTGTTGCTTCTTACGCCTGCCATCATAGTGTATTCAAAATGTTGAAGTTGTGATTTATTTATCACAACGTGCAATGGGCGGACCTCGCGCGCTTGGGGGAAATATCACAGCAGACGGCTAACATTGACATCTACGTGGCCAAAAGCACTGAGAAGGCAGCTCGTGACGCTGATGCCACCCAGGGCCAGCTGCCGAACCACCAGTGCACACAGTTCGGATGGCGGAAGTCGAAGTCAATGGGCGTCAACAACTCGTGCGGCATAGCGGACATGGAAAGCCAGCGGCTCAGCAGTAATGTGCAGCGCCCACACAGAGAGAAACATCACAGGACGAGCGGCGATGGCAGACATATCGGCGGGGGCCATGAGTGCAGCAAGCACCCCGATCTACTTGCCGCCGAGACGCCTTGCCGCCGCCGCGCGCTGGGGAATCACGCGCGACATTTGCGAACGGGCGCAGCAGGAGCTCGACCAGCTGGGACACAACTGTTTGCCGATTGTGTTGGGCGACTACAGCTGCGCGGTCGGCATCCGCGCGGGCGTTACAGAGCGCATCTACATCAGGGAGATCGGCGCAGTTGGCGTCTCAGAGCCCGCGCCCGAGAATCACGCCGGCCAGATCGCGACGGATTTCTTGGAAGGCAATTCCCTCGCGATGGCGGACACGCCCTGGCGAACAATACCCACGTACTACAAGGGCGCGCGCCAGAACAATATAGATCACATCGCGTCACCTGTCGCAGCGAAGGACCGCCGTCGACGATTTCAGCCACTTTTTGGCCTGGCGCAGCGAATTCAGCTGCCATCCACCCACCTGCGCGACCGCGTGCCAGCGTTCGCGGACATCGACGTTCACATCAGCAAGGCGCACCAGAGCCAGTTCACGTCAGCAGCCAACCGCGACCAAGCGATAAAGGCGCATCCCAAGGGATGCACGATCTTGGCGTTCACGCGGCGGGTGGAAGGGGCGACGCGACGGACGCCTGAACGATAACGGCGACAGACACGGGACCAAGGGAACGTTCGAAAAAAAAGGCGGGGTGCATCGGCTGCCAACATTCGGGGGGCCATGCAGGAGACGTTTCCTAAACGAGAGCACGTCGACGTGGACCACGAGGGCGCGCCACGCGCCCGCTATCTCATGAAAGGGGACGTATGGGCGACAGGGTCGCTACAGCGGCTCCGCATTACGATGGCGGAGAACTACGACGACGTGAAGGCGAACGATGAAAGCGGCGTCGACGGAAACGACGACGGCATCAGCACCGAGTGCGCGCGCGCACGTGACGGGGGAGGAGGGCGAAAACATCGGGCGCGGGACATGTTGCACCACGGTCAAGGCAATGCCGGCGCGCATCACACACGCGCGCGACAAGAGGAACATGCACTCGGATATCATAGGCACAAGCGCATGCCCACGGTGCCGCGCATCACTTGCTAGCCGAGCGCCCTGCCTCCGTCGCGCCTACACTTGCGGCCATTGCGTCCGCGAGCCCGCGAGGCGCAAACGTTGACCGTGGAGAGTCTAACAGGGGCACTGGCAGAGGAGCTGGCAAAGGCGACGCATCCTGCCGGGCGGAGAACACGACGACGCAGAAGCACGCGCTCATCAACGCGCAGGCGATGCGCCAGGTGTCTGTCAGCCTGCGGGACTTCCCCCCGGCGCCAGGAGACGCCCCGCGGCGGGCGCGGGCGTGGGGGCAGGCGCGACACACTCGGTGCGCGGCCAGATCCCGGGGCCGATGCGCCTGCGCGAGGGCGTGGACTTCCCCCGCGGAGATGGGCCAGAACGACAAGGCCAGGGGCGAGCACAAAGCCGACCTGACGGACTTCCAATACCTCATCGAAGTCACGGGCAATCAGAACCTCGGGGGCATCCCGAGCTATTGCAAGGTCAAGAAGGCGCACGCGAAACAGGGTCAGCCAGAGCGCTGGTAGATCAGATTGGCGAAGCCTTGCGACGACACTGGTTTGCAGAACTACATCGGCTCAGGATGACACTTGCCAACGCAGGCCGCTGGCCCAAGAAGCGTTAACTATAGGCGCCGAGACAAAGCACGACAGTGCAACAGTGGACAGAGGGACTGGCTCGGCAACCGCAGAAACTCGGCATGCAGCGCGACAGGATCGATTGGCAGGACTGAAAGAGCGTGTTCTACCTCTGCTGGCGGAAAACTGGGGGGGTCACTACCGGTTCGAACCCCTCCCCCCCCCCCCGCCCGGAAAACCGGGGGCGGTCGCTGCCGGTTCGACCCCCCCCCCAGCTCATCATGAAAAGGAGGGGGGGTCACTACCGGTTCGAACCCCCCCCTTCGAAAACCGGAGGGGGGGGGCCACTGCTGGCTCGAACCCCGCCCCCCCCCCCCTCCTCGAAAACCGAGGGGGGGGGGGCGCGGGCAGTGGCGGTGGCGGCGGCGGGGGCAGTGGCGAGGGGGCAACGGGGCAGCGGTGGGGACAGCGGGGCAGCGGCGGGGACTGCAGTGGCGGGGGCATTGCTGAGGACAATGGTGGGAACAGTGGAGACAGTGGACAGCGGTGGGGGCGGCGGCGCGGCGGCGGCGGGGGCAGTGGCGCGGGGACAGGGGGAGGTGGAAACAGTGGGACAGTGGAGGGTACAGTGGTGGTGGGGGCAGTGCACTGCGAGGGCGGTGGCGAGGACAGCGGCGGGGCAATGGGACAGAGGCACAGTGGGGGCAGTGGCGGGGGCAATAGGGACATTGGTGGGAACAGTGGGACAGCTCAGTGGGACAGCGGAGGAGTCAGTGGGACAGCGGGGACAGTGGGGATAGTCGGGCAGCGGTTGGGGCCTTGGAGAAAGTGGGGAGAGTGGAACTGCGATGGGAACAGTGGTGGCGACAGTGGGGGCAGTGCGACAGTGGTGGGAACACTGGTGGGGACAGTAGTGACGGTGGCGGAACCAATGGGGGCAGCGGTGGTGAGGACAGCGGCGCTGGGAACAACAGTGAGGGATGTGGCGCGAACGGTGGTAGGGGCCGGGAGTTGTGCGCTGGCGGTGAGTGGCGGGGGGGAGGGGTTCGAACCGGTAGTGACCCCCCCTCCGGTTTTCGAGGGGGAGGGGGGGGGGGGGGGCTCAGGGGAAGGGTGGTTTTGCCGGGATAGGGGGGGGGGGGGGGGGGTCCAGCAGAGGGGGGTGGGGTTCGGAAGGGGGGGGGGCGGGCTCCGGAGGAAAAGGGGTGCAGTTTTCCACAGTGAAGCGGCGGTGGATCACGCTCTCCCACATGGATCAGCGGAGTATTCGCAGAGGCCCTGGAAGCCGTACCGGATGTTTATCAGCGTAGCCAGCGGCCCCTGGACAAGCACAGGGAGGGCCATATCAATGCCATTCGCGAGGGTACCAAGAAGCGCCCATCAAGCCCCTGCAGAGCACCCAGATCGCGGACATCAGGAGAGCCGCCAACCACGCGCAGCGGGCGGTGGAAGCGGAGCAGATCCTCGCAGCACCCCCGCCCATCAGGCTTGGAGAGGCATTTCCCGGCCGCCATCCGCGCCAGGCAGCAGCAGACGGAGGGGCAGGGTTCGCAGGCCTTCGACAGATAGCGATCAGGTAGACGGAGAGCGGTATAATTGCTGAGAGAATCTTTGGGGAGGATCGAAAGCAACCGACAGAGTTGGTAAGATGAATGAGATCAGTTTCTTTCGCGTAGCGTATTCAATGGCCAGGCGGCCAGAAGCAGAAGCCGACGTTTTCCTTGCTCCCGCGGTGCCCGTTCCAGGGTATTATCTTTGTTTTCGGCCGCGCGCCGCGCGCCTCCTTATGGATTCCGTGGGGCGTCGGGGTTTTGGTCTCTCTGCTGTCCCTCTTTGGGGGCTACGGGCCCCCAGGAGACCAGTGCTTACCTCACGAGGCAGCAAATACTAGGCATGTCGTGGGGAGTGGGGGGTTGGGAGTGGGCCAGCGGGCGGGGGGGAGCGGTGCGTTGCAGCATCAGTGCTACTCGAGCTGCGCGGAGTAACCCGAGTCAGGGGGGAGTGGCCCAAAGGCCCTAAACTTTTGGAGTTGCATGATTTTTTGGGGGGTTTTGAAGTACAGGCCCCGCGCTGCAGGCTAAAAAGCCAAGTGCCCCGCAGGCGATCCCGTCGCTCCGCCGATCTAGCGCGCCAGCAGCAACTAGTTCGTTTCGCAAGAAAGCGAACGCCAGGCCATCGACCGACCGATAGCTGACAGCTGCCGAGGTTTCCTCCTCCTCCTCCTCCTCCTCCTCCTCCTCCTTCTCCTCCTCCTCCTCCTCCTCCTCACTCTTTTATGCCCCCAACACGGGCGCCTTCAAGTGGTGGTGGATAGCGGGTTGGTGAGGCACCCGTGCGGCGCTTGGGGGAATTGAAACCTTCATAGAACCACCGGGTGGTGGTGGGCGCTGTTCGGTAGCACGGAGGGCTCTTGTCCGGCCTTCGCCAGTGTTCAGCACTTGGGCCACCCCGAGTCACAAGGTTGGCGGGAGGGAACTCACACATGCGTGCCACCTGGTTTGCGGGCTTGGGGTGGCGGTCCTTGGCCTAATGTGTTTTCGCACCATGTGCCCCGCACGGTGGTTGAGCTGGGCTCCGCCGTCCCCGAGCTGACTAGCGGGTGGCATGGGGTGGCGGTGGTCCGTCGCTATTGTAGGCCAAGTTGTTTCGACTAGGATGAAATCGAGCATGTCCCTCTACAGGAGGAAAATTCAAACACTGTCTCACAACAGAACAGAAGATCGGAACGCTTTTTGGGTATATTTGAGCACCTGTTGGTTATTTGTTGAATGCATTTCGCCCAAATTCCGCCTGTAGGAGGACATGCCCGACCTAAGGCTTGGGTTTTCCAGGCCTGATCGTCCAGGCACGCAACGCCGTCGTGAGTCACTCGCCGAGTTGCGGTCGTGGGGGAGACCTCCAACACGGGCGGCGGCCAGAGGCCCCGGGTGCACGCGAGGCCGCTTCGGCTGGCAGTGTCAACGGGCAGCTGCGCGCGGAAACGGCCGCGTTCGTCCTGTCGTCGGTCGTCGCAGCGGTGGCGTTTCGTAGCAAGGGGCGCGGAGGAACCAGAGGCCAAGGAGGCGGAATTCGAGGTGGCGGCCGTTCATTTCCCAGGCGTGCCCCCCCCTTCCACCGCGGCTGACAGCTCTGATGGAACCTCGGTGAGCAGGTGCGCGCCGCGGAACCGCCGAGGGAAGAACCCGAATACATGTTTCCATTCGTTGCTTCCTGTTGGGTTCCGCGGGGTCGCGCCGATGCTCCTCGGGGAGGCCAGCTTCTCTGCCGCATGGTTTTTGCTTCCGCCTCTCCGCGCTCGGGTGCGGGAGGGGGCCAACCACGGGCAGGAACGGTGGTTGTTGGCGTGTATCTCTCACGGCACGCTTCTCGGTGCTCCGACGGCAGAGGGCCGGTTCGACGACGTCGATTTGGACGGCTCCTGCCCCTAGCAGAAGCTGCTGCAGGCTCTGTTCACGACAGCTCCCGTGGCGCAAGGCCCGTATGTCCTGCAGTCAGCCCTGGTTCGCGTGGCGTTCGCCACCGGCATGACGGGACTGGGGGGGTGATGCCTTCGAGATCCGAGAAAAAACATGTTTGCCTTCCCCCTTCGTCTTCTTTCCCGACCTCCCCTCTCATCCGACCCCCCCCCAAACCCCCCTAAATTCTTCCGCCCCCGCACATTCATCCCCTTCCTACGTGCCCCTCCGCCTACCGATTTCCTCCGCCTCCTCCGCCTCCTTCTCCTCCTCCTCCTCTTCTTCCTCCTCCTCTTCCTCCTGCCTCAGTTGTTGCTTCCCCCCCTCTTCCAGTTCCTCTCCCGTCTTCCCCTCCCGCCGCACCCCGTTGACTTCCCCCCTCGCCTCTTTCCGCCTCCCGCTCCCCTCCCGCCGCGTCCCCCTTCCCCCCCCCCCGGCAGAGGAGCGCCCGCGGGCCCTGGCGGCGGAAGCGCCGAGGGGGGCGAGGCCGCGGACGAGGACGCGGAGGCGCAGGAGCCGCCCAGCGGTGTCGCCACACGGTGCGGTGAGTTGGTGGAGATTCGGGGTCACCGCACGGTTTTGGGACTCGGGTCGTTCTCCGAGGACGTCTCGGGCGACGTGGGCCTCCGAGGCCCCAAGACCGTGCGGTGGCGGACCGTGCGGTGAGGACTTGGGGGATTTCAAGGTCACCGCACGGTCCGTCACCGCACCGTTTCGTGACTCCAAACGGTGGCCCGGGAGGGGGAGGGCTCCGAAGCCAGCTTCGACTGGACGCAAGGGGGACCTTTCGCCGGAGTGACCTTCGGTGCGGGCCAGGAGGGGTCCCCGATCGCCGAACGCGAGGCGGCAGTGGCGTGTGTGCGCGCTTGTGTTTGGCCCCCCCCGCGGCCCCCCAAAAGCCGCGCACCACTGGTCACTCGTGCCCAGGGTCACTGCGCGTAGCCGGCAGCTTCTCGAGCGCAGGACCTCGAACCTCGCCCCCCCCCCAGAGAGGCTGCTGCTCACGGGGATCCGCCTCCGCCCACATGGCCGCCAGCCCTCCGCACCGGCTGGCACGGGCCGCCTTTTCACCTCACCGCCAGCCTTAGGTCGGGCATGTCCCCCTACAGGGGAGAAGCCAGGCGGGGTAACCGCGGCGGCTCCTGCTCGCCGCAGCCGTTCTTGGGCCACCTCAGACCCCTAGCCGGATCCGAAGCCTGTGCTGTCGACGACACGCTCGCGCACTGCCGCTTTCTGTGGTGCGATCGCGGACTGACGAGCCCCAACATTTCAACCGCGAAAGCCAGGCCAGCCTCTCGGGCGCCACTGTCGGGGAGCCCGTCGGCGCGATGGCAGCGCCTCCGAGATCGGGGGCCCCCAACCAGTTCGAGGGTTGCCAAAGGTACCCCAAGGAGTCAATGGAGATCTGGGGGGCACCTTGGGCCAGGGCACTGCTAGCATCAAGTCGGGCCTGTCCCTCTACAGGGGGAATCTTCAAAAATAGTTAAAACATAGTCAGGGGACTGTTGTTTGAGCATTTTTTGCCATTTGGGAGCATTTTCTGAGTATTTCCCTACCTAGGCTCTGCCTAGAAGGGTTCTTACTCTATTGGCTTCAAGGGGCCGGGCAGTGTAACCCCCCCCCGGGCGGTTCCCCAGGTCCCCTGGGAGCCAAGCAAAAGCAACAGCAAAGGTAAAAGCAAACGCGCGGTTCCCCCAGTTGCGCTCCCTGGGTGCCAAGCAAAAGCAAACGCAAAGGCAAAAGTGAAGGCAAAAGCGAAGGCAAAGCAAACACATAGCATAGCATAGCATAGCATGGCGCAGCATAACATAGCGCAGCATAGCATAGCATAGCCTAGCCCAGCATAGCATTGCGCAGCAGAGCAGAGCAGAGCATAGAAGAGCATAGAAGAGCATCACATAGCGCAGCACAGCATCCAATAGTGCTGCCGCTATTTATACATATATATATATATGTTTATATGCATCATAGATACATATATATGTATATATATGTATATATGTATATGTACTTATGTGTGTGTGCGCACGTATGTTCCATGAATGTTGTCCGTCTGTGGGCCATATTGAGCCCCTAGTGGGGCGGCGGCGGTTCTGGCGCTACTACTAGTAGTACGACTACTACCACTACTACTACTACTACTACTACTACTACTACTACTACTACTACTACTACTACTACTACTACTACTACTACTACTACTACTACTACTACTACTACTACTACTACTACTACTACTACTACTACTACTACTACTACTACTACTACTACTACTACTACTACTACTACTACTACTACTACTACTACTAGGACTACGACTACGACTACGTACGACTACGACTACTACTACTACTACTACTACTAACTACTACTACTACTACTACTACTACTACTACTACTACTACTACTACTACTACTACTACTACCTCTACTACTACTACTACTCCTACTCCTACTCCTACTACTACTACTACTACTACTACTACTACTACTACTACTACTACTACTACTAACTACGACTACGACTACGACTACGACTACTACGACTACGACTACGACTACGACTACGACTACTACTACTACTACTACTACTACTACTACTACTACTACTACTACTGCTACTACTACTACTACTACTACTACTACTACTACTACTACTACTACTACTACTACCGCTACTGCTTCAACTACGACGATGAGGAGAAGGAGGAGGACGGCGTTTACCGCTCCTACTAATGTTGCTTTCCTAGAGGCTCCAACTCCTAGGTAGGGTCGCACTAGGATAATTTGCATTTTTCGTCGAACATCCCCCTGTAGGGGGACAGGCCCGACTTAGTGCTAGCAGCTCCCGAGCAATGTGGTGACCACATCGCGTGGTGAGTGACTGGGGATTCGGGGTCACCGCGCGGTTTTGTGACTCGGGCCGGCCTTCGAGGATGTCAGGGACGGCTGCTGGGGCCTCCAGGGTTTCAAAAGTCGTGCGTTGAAGGACCGCGCGGTGAGGTCGTTGGGGACTCGGAGGTCACCACGCGGTCAGTCACAACGCGGTTTGGGGTCCCAGAGGACGAGGATGGGAGGAGCCTCGCCATGAAGGAAGCGGATCTTGAGGGACACGGCCATGCGGTTTCTCGTTATTTTCGGGTTCTCGGCGCCCTCCGCGGGCTCCAGGACCGCCAAGAACTGGCTCAGGATGAAGAGCCAGTCCTTGGGCGTCGCGTAATGGTGGGGCGATACATTGGGGGGCAGCAAGGGCTGCAGAAAAGAAGCCCTTCAGGACCCAAAAGGGGGGCTTCTGCGCCCGAGAAGTGCACCTATCGTCCCCCATGGATCGCCCCTTCATCAAGCGATGCCCAATGTCGGAAACTGGAACATATACATTACCAGTGGCGGGCTGGTTTTTTATCCCAGAACTAGTTGAGGGTCGGGGACGACGTCGGAGTGGCGTGGTGTATATTATTTTCCCCGTTTTCTCGTGGAAGCGCGAAAAAGGTATACATCAGGATCCCGTATACACCATGATCCGCTCTCTTGTGCGAATTGCAGCGCGGGGCCGCAGAAAACATCGGTGTATAGAGCCCGGTCCCTTACAATGTCCTGGGGAAAGCCCCGGGACCCAGGACCCGTCTCCCGCAGGACCCGTCTCCTTGATGCTCGGGTGCTGGGCGAGGAGCAGGGCGAGGAGCAAAGGGGGATGGGGGAGCAGCAGCAGCAGCAGCAGCAACAGCAGCAGCAGGAGCCAGAGCAGGCTGCAGCGGGGGAGGAGGAGCAGCAGGAGCTGCAGGAGCCGGGGGAGGGCGGCGGCAGGAGCGGGGCGCGCGCGGTCGGAGGAGGAGGGCGGGTCCAGAAGCTCCGGAGGTGCTCTTGGCTTGGGGGGGGCGGAGCAGGGCGACAGCGCGCGAGGACATGCGGGAAGTCTTGAGTCGGTCCTCTCCCTCAACATGAGGAAAATTCAAATATAGTCAAAAAGTAGTATTGGGCAGATTTTTTGACCATTTTTGCTATGTTAGGTTATCTTGTGAGTATTTTCAATTTTCGTCTAAAATCGGTCTGCAGGGGGACAGGCCCGACTTAAGGGAAGTCCCAGGAGGCGCGCGGGCAAAGGGGAATCCGTGAATGCGGGGTCCTGGCCCTCAAGTGCAGTGGGGGGTCCACGCCGAGAAACGCCCTGCTTGCCTCCAGGGTGCCCTGGGTTTCTTGGGTTTCGGTTGCCTTGCTAGGGAAAGCGTGACGTTCCCACACCAAAAAAATCGATGGACGTCCTGGGGTCGAAAGGTTTGGGTTTCTTGTGGAAGGTGCCTTGTGGACTGGTCTCCACTGTATTCAATCACACCGATTGAAGACGGCGGGGCGGGCTCAAGGGACCGCAGGGCACTCCAAGTCGCGCCTCGCGGCACGGTGGCGGAATAAACGGAGAATGCCGTCCCCTCGTGGCAGGGCCTTGCCGCAAGGGAAGAGGTGGGAAGGACGGAGGAGCAGTGCAACAGGGCGGGGTAATTGTGCGTAGAAAGAGGGCAAGAGAACGAGAGAGAGAGAGAGACGTAGAAAAACAGAATTTGAGGGAGAGGGAGAGAGAGCCCGAGAGGGAGAGAGCCAGAGAGGGAGAGAGAGAGAGAGAGAAAGAAAGAGAGAGAGAGAGAGGAATACGCTGTACACAGGGTTATATGGTCTATGCTTGTTATTTGCAGGGGGAGAGGGAGAGAGAAAGATAACAAGATCTGAACAAAGGACAATCCATCAGTAAAACGAGAAACAACACATGGAGGGGCAAAGGAGAAGAGGGATTACGAGGAGGAGAAGTAGGATAACAAGGAAAAGGGACACCACCTCTGGTGAATGTATCACCTCTCTTGGGCCATCCTCATTATGCTTATCCTTCCTTTCCCTTCTCTCCCTCCTCATTACAGTCCCCCTTCCTACCCACCCAACCCACCTACCCCACCGCACCCACCACGCACGTGTTGCCCATCCTCGTGAGCGTCACACGAGGAGCAAGAAGCGGATGGCCACGTAGACGAGAATGAAGACGAGGAAGGCAAGTCAATGTTACCCACGAGTCCGCACTGAACAGCCAACCGCTTATTGTCGGGAAGGGCTTCGCCCTTGGCCGCCGGCCCCCTCTCCATCGTAATGGAATGTCCAGGAGCCAGGTTGGGATGCCTGGGTGCCGTCGTGAAGCAGTATCGAAACCTCGTGCGAGGACTACTGGTAATCTGCCAGGCAGATGGATGTTCAGATGACAGCGTTGAACTCCGTGCTGCCTTTTGCGAACTTTCCCTCATGCTGTGTATCGGCTGCCCACTTGGAACGACTGTGGGCTGCCTGAGGCTACGTCGGGCAAAATCGCGCGGCTTGGACGGTCTCGGGGTTCCTCGGCGTATGTTACGAGGGAACGTGACTTCGGGGACGCGAACATGGCGTAATATCAGCTTGTGGTTAAGACCCCGCGGGGCGCGATATTTTTTCATCACGCGCGCCAGGGGGGGAGGAGGAGACAGGAGGGGGAGGGAGGAGAAGGAGGAAAAGGCGGAGGACGAGGAGGATGAGGAGGAGGAGGAGGAGGAGGACGAGGAGGAGGACGAGGAGGAGGAGGAGGAGGAGGAGGAGGAGGCCCGAGTGGCGAAGAGAGCGGCCGCTGGAAACGGGCGCAGGCAGGGCGGGGGACGGCGGCGACGACGGCAACAGAGGGGCGGAGGAGGACTACCCGCCATGCTCGGGTCGGACGAAAAGCTGGGGAAGGAAAGGGGCGGGGGTGCGAAGCCTGCTGCGCGCAGCTGAGATCGGTCGCCCGGCCGAGGGGCCAGTCCTCGACGCATGGCGCGTACGGCGCCAGGAGGTGTTCGGAAAATCGGCGACGTGAGTTGCTGTGCCCCCCCCCCCCTTTGCTGCGCCCCACTTTCGTCCAGCCCACCTTGCCCACAAGCCCGCATCGGTTCGACTGCAAAACAGGCGCCTTGGCTCGCCCTTGCCTGGCCTCCCGACCCCCCCCCTTTGCCTCTCGTTGGCGGCCTGGCGTCGGCGCTAATCACCGGCGCCGCCCCGTTGATTTTCAATGTGGCGGGTGCCACCCCGCGATCCGCCCGAGCAGGGGAACTATATACATATATATATACATGTATATACATATATACATATATATACAAATAAATAAATAAATAAATGTATATATATACACATATAAATGTGTATACATACATATGTATATATAATGACACGCGCCCCCCCACGGATCTTGTTAATCACAAGCCGACACTAATGTACGAACGAGCGTGGCTTCGGGGACGCGACCATTGTATATTTTTCGACGGCCCGTGGCGTCGGCGACGCGAATGTTGCTTAATTCAAAAGCGATCGTGACGTCGGGGACGCGAATATGGCGCAACGTACATGAGATCGTGGCTTCGAGGGCGCGAACATTGTACAACTTATGAGGGATCGTGGCGTCAGAAACACGAGCGTTGCGAAAGTTCCAGAAGATTGTTGCTTCGGCAACGCGAATGTGTCCAACTTGCGACGGACTGTGGCTTCGGCAGCGCGAGTACAGCGCGATTTGCGAGGGGTTGCGGCCTCGGCAGCGCGAATACAGGCTTCGGGACAAATACCGAACACGCATGCCACATTCATCTGTCGACGTCTCCCCTTCCCCCCAATGTTCAAACTCGGGTCTGATAAGTTGCACCTCGGCCGCATTCTCCCCCGCGCGTGCCAACTTTAAGTTTTGGGGGAAAGGGGGGGTGTTCAGTAACTGTTTCCTTCTATTGGGCTCTAGCGAACATTCATGCCACATTCATCTGTCGACGTTTCCCCTTCCCCCCACTGCTCAAAGCTGGCGATGGGTCTGATGAGTTGCAATTCGACCGCAGTGTCCCCGCGCGTGCCATTTTTGACTCTGGGGGGGGGGGGGAGTGTTCAGTAAATGCTCTTTTTCTACCATACGGCGCACATTGCGAGGGATTGTGGCCTCGGCAGCGCGAGTATGGTGCAATTTGGAAGGAATTGTCGCCTCGGCAGCGCGAAACTCACACAATTTGCGAAGGACGGTGGCATCGGCAGCGCGAAGATGGTGCAATTTGCAAGTTACTGTGGCCTCGGCAGCCCGAGTCGATTGGCAATGTGCAAGTGCCTCTGGCCTCGGATGTGCAGATCTCATGTGTTTTTTTGACGTGTCCCCCGACCCCCAGGGAATTCTGAAAACCTTGTTGGGGGTGGTAGCCGGGGCCCTTTTAGGCTACCCCCCCTCGCGCGGACAGTAACAATCTACAGTAGGAAGCAGAAAGCAGGACTGTGACATTGGAGACTGGAAATTGGAGCTCGGGACTGTAACATTGGAGGCTGGAAGCTGGAACTGGCGCAGGGCACTGCAACCGTAATCCTTGCAGCCTGATGGCCCCGCAAGGGAGCCGGCGGATTAGGACGAGGGTGGGAAACGGCGAGGAGGAGAAGGATATCGTCGAGGAAGAGGACGGCCAAAGGAAAGGAGGAGGAGGCGACCGATGAGGACGTGGAGGAGGAGGACGACGACGACAGCGAGCATAGTGACCCAAAGAAGCATAAGGCGGAAAGACGACGACGACGGCGACTATGATAACGACCAGGAGACGCCGAGAAGGCAGCATGATGAGGAGGAGGTTAACGGCGAAGGTGAAAGCGACACGTGAGTAATGATGACCATAATGTAGATGAGAACGAGCAGGAGGAGGACGGCGAACACCATGATTATTCAAGGGGTCCTGGGGGGATAAATGGCGCTATGCGCCGTCCTAGGCACCAGGACGAGGGGCCGAATTTGTGACGATCCAGGAGTCGAATAACGGAATCCCTCGCGAAGGGCCACGCTCCCCAGCGCACGTTGCCGTTGGTTTCCCGCTGTCAGTGCAGCCCGGCGAAGTAGCAGGAGGAGCAGCAGGAGCAGCAGGAGAAAGAGAAGGACACGGCGAGTAGGAGCAGAATCAGGAGCAAGTAGGGGAGCAGCTTGATGAGGAGGAGCAGCAGCAGCAGGAAGCGGAGATGCAGGCGGAGAGGCATGATCAGTTTCTGGAGCATCATCAGCAGCAGCAAGAGCAATTTAGGCATCAACTCTGCCAACACCTTGGGCATCGGAGCATAGGCCCCAGGTCGATCGCTCGTCGCGTTCCGACCGTTCTTGCTGCTGGTTGATCGCGAACGCCTCCCTCAACGCTGCGAGCTCTCTCGCTCAGAGTCTGGCCTTAGGTTGGGTATGTTCCCCTACAGGCGGATTTTGGATGAAAAATGAACATTCGTAAACGAATGTCCAAACATTTTTGACCTCGTAAAGTAGGAACATCGTCCTCTGATTGATTTTTTGACTGTGTTTGAACATTCCTCCTGTAGAGGGACAGGCCCGACCTAAGTCTGGCCGAAGCAGAAAGCATGGAGGAGCACTGCCCCCCTCCCCCAGGAGGACATGTCGCGAGAGGCCGCCGCGCAGGAGGGCGCCTCGGGGGGGGGGTGGAGGGTAAGCGGCCGCGCGCCGGCGGGAGCGGGAGGACGAGGACGTGGGCAAGGAGGACGGAGGAGGGAGGAAGCCGCGCGCCGGCGGGAGGCGGAGGACGGAGACGTTAGGGGGCCACGTGCGAACCCTACCCCTACCCCCCACGATTTCTGAGGGGGAGGGTGGGGTTCACCTCAGAAATCGTAGGGGGCAGGGGGAGGGTTCGCATGTGGCCCCCCAGACGTGGACAAGAAGACGGAAGAGGGAGGACGGAGGAAGGAGGTGGATTGACGAAGAAGATCGGCGCTGTGACCCCCTGGCGGCGCCTCTGGCGCGGCCCCCTGACGCGGATCCAAGGAGTCTGAGCGGACCTCCCCAAGGCTATGTCCACGGCTTTAGTTGTGCCTTTCTAGAGGAGGGAGGCGGAGGGAGAGGAGGGAGAGCGACTGCCAAGTGGCAAAGGGCAGAGGAGTGTTGAGGGGGGGAGGTCCTCGAGTTTGTGTTGCCTATTTTGGCCACCTGGTGCCACCTCCCAGGCTCCGGGACCAGAAATCAACCGATAAACTCGTCTTGGGGAAGGCCCCGGAGTCCAGGACCCGTTTCCCTCAGGGTCCGTCTCTTTCGTGTTGAGGTGACGGAGGAGGGAGAGAACGAGCGGGTCGAGGTTGAGAAATGAGGAGGAGGCGGAGGAGGAGGAGGGAACAGGACTTGTAGGAGAACTAGGGTGAGGACCAGAGTAGACCCCAGATGCAGCACGTCTCCACAAGTCCATGTTAACTCTTTTTTTTTCGCTGTGGGGAGCGCTCCCTTGAGTCACACGTGCACGATGGGCCGTGCTCCTTCATCTCCCTAGTTTTAAGACATGCGATCGTGCAAGGTACAACTGTTCAGGGAAGTCTCCAGGGAAAGCCCGTGTTCGCAAACGAACCGCCCTGGATCGGTGAATCCGTTTCACCAGTCTCATTTCCGGCAATACAGATTGTGGACGTCTCAAGCGAGAGCCCAACTAGGAACCGTCCTCCATCCTTGTCACTTACAGTTCTTTTCAGGCGAATGTGCGCGGCTTGTTTTCCGATAAACACATGGATGAAGCCACCCGCCCTCCATCCTTGTGACTGAGTGTTGAAGATTAGTAAGACGAGCGTGCGCGGCAACATGGCAAGAGCCGCATTATGATGAGCACCCGCTTTCCATGTTAATGTCGATTGAAGCGTTTCAAGATTGCGCGCGGTGCTTCAGCGTGGGCGACATTTTGACAACGACTCACCCACCATCCGTGTAACTGTTGGACAGTTGACGCTTCGGGATTGCAAACGTGAGCCAAGTCTCAGACGAAATGCCCACCCAGCCAGCCAGCCCACCCAATGCGTCGGATGGTGCGACGAGGAAGAGTTGTTCAGACATCCTAGTGGGGGAGGAATGAGGGAGGGGGGAGGAGGAGAAAGAAGGGAGGAGGAGGACGAAGAGGAGGTGGGAATGAAGTAGGGAGGAAGGAGAGGAGGGGCTGAGGAGCAGGGAGGAGGAGGAGGAGGAGGAGGAGGAGGAGGAGGAGGAGGAGGAGGAGGAGGAGCGAGGGTTCGAGAGCTGTTCCCCACCCGAGAGGCTGGTTTTGTCGGGTTTCAATCAACACCAGGCCCGTCACGGCCCTCCCGTCCAGCCCGTGTGCCCCATGGTGGCCAGGCCGCGAGTATGCCCGAGATGCGTGGGGGTCCCGCCCGCCCGGCTCACGCGCCCCGCTGGGCCAGCCCCGAAGGGCTAGCCCCGAAGGGCTCATGGAGTTAGTCGGGCGTGTCCTTCTACAGGGTGAATATTCAAAAATAATCAAAAAGTAGCCTGTAGGGGGCATGCCCGACCTAAACCTGGAGTGCTTGCGAACCCCGCTCGCGAAGCGGGTGATCAGAGAGCGGTGCCAAACAACGACAACAAACGATAGGTGGTCGTTCTTGTATTCATCGTGTTGCCGATCGGCGCGGGCCCTCGCATCCTCGCACCATCCCCCCCCCCCCCCCCCCCCCCCCTGGAGTGGATCTTGGCTGTTTTTGGGCGCCTGTTTCGAGCACGCGGAGTTTCCGCACAAGGACGCATTGTTGCAAACAGTCGCACTAAGCAGAGGTCTGGAGCCAGACCCCCCCCCCCCTCCCCCCCCTTCCGCCCAATGTCGAAACGCCGAACAAGAAAACGCTCGCAAACGATAGGCGGACACGGCACGTGCACCATGTTCCACTCTTGCTACGTGCGTCTTTTGTTACAGCCTTCCCTTTCTTTGGGGAGTTGTTTCATGCATCAGGAACCCGATACTCCCGCACCTTTTACGAGGCATGTTACAATCTTCTGTTCAGAAGGTACATGGCAGTCGCAATCGCCATGCACCTGCTTTTCCCTACTGAAGTCAGCTTCGGATCGCCATGGGATGGCATTGAGAACATGTGGTCATCTTGAGGCCACCTACTGCGGTCATTGGTTTGTTTTCAGTGTCCTGGGCGCATCGCAGGGGTTATCGCAGGGTTCTCTTGAAGCCACTGGTTCGAGTTGGAACCGTCTTTGACATTGGAGGTCACCCCAGGGCATCGCAATGGAATCATTATGTGGTCAGTTTGAAACATTGCGGTAATCTGGATGCCGTCTTGAAATCTTGTGGGGCTCATTTTGGGGCCATGGGGTCGCATCGGTGTCAAGCAGAAGTCGTGTTGGGGCCATGGGCTCATCTTGGAATGATCTGGGCATGCGCCGGATATCAGCCATCGAGGATCGAACGCCGAGCACCGAGGATCTCTTGTAGGTTTCTTGGTGCTGGGGTCTACTTGGCCCTTGCAGGGCTGTTTGTTGTTGCTGTGGTGTTGTTGTCGTTGTGGTTGTTGTTGTTGCTGCTGCTGCTGTTATTGAACTCTCATTTATGAAGAATAATTATTGTTGATCCCCCCCGTCCGGTGCACATTGTTTTTTCGATTGAAGTGCCCTTCCCGGGGGCCGCGCCCTGTTTTTTATCAGGGGAGGTCTTGAGAGTGAAACTGTGTCGTTGGGCCCCGGGTTACAACAACAACGGCTCCCGCCTGATATGTCCTCCCAGTTTATTGAAGAATCGCACTCTCGCTTGGGATGTCCTTGCAATTTGCCACCGGACCGCGGCTACCGCTTGATACTTCCTTACACTTTATTGTTGAATCGCGCTCTCACTTGGAACTTCCGCGCTCTTTTCGACACGGTTGCAGTTCTCACGATCTTTCCTCCCCACTCTCCCAACATCCCGCCTTTGTTCAAGGTTCCACGAAATTTGTTTCTGACACCAGTTCGCAGCTGTACGTCCCCCCATGGGAGTATCCACGATATGTTCTTTCAAGGGAGTGGTACGTGGCGCTGTTTATGGCGCGGCCCATGGCGAAACTCATTGTTAACCTGTGTTGGAGTGGCTGGCGCAAGCCATGGCGCAAGCTGAATCGCCACTCGCAGCGCAAATCATCGGCCTCCCTCCTTTTTGCCCTTCCCCTCCCTTCCTCCGATCCCTTCGTCCTCCTTCTCCTCCGTTATCTGTTACCCTTTGTTTTCAAGGGTTTCACCAACCACGCGTGGCAGGGAATGGATCTACCCCCAAAAGGAGGTACGATCGAAGACGACAAGGGCGGGTATCCAGGGTTTGGGATATGCCTGTTGAATGACGCGCGAGCAGATAAGAGCGAACAGTCTTAAAATGATTGTTGATGGCGTTGTTGATGTTGTCGTTGTTGTCGTCGTTATGGTTGCTGTTGTTGTGTGTGTGTTGGTGTTGGTGTTGGCGTTGGCGTTGGTGTTGGTGTTGGTGTTGGTGTTGTTGTTGGTGTTGGTGTTGTTGGTTGTGTTGGTGTTGTTGTTGTTGTTGTTGTTGTTGTTGTTGTTGTTGTTGTTGTTGTTGTTGTTGGCGGTGGTGGTGGTGGTGTTGATCTTGGCGTTGGTGTTGGTGTGTGTGTGGTGTGTAGTGTGTGTGTGTGTGTGGCATGGGGCTCTCCGGGCGCTCTGTGGAGCCGTCCTGGCGCCCCATGCAGGCTTGCGAGCGGGGCCGCCCGGGGCGCATTCTAGAAGAGATTTCGAGGCGACGGCGCCAAGTCCCGAGCAGACAGCTGGAAGGTATCGGACTGGGACGCTGCCCTCTCCTTGGGGGGGGGATGTCACCGCCGAGGCGAGATCGCCACTCCTGAGTAAAAGTCTAGAGGCTTCGAACGGGATTTTTTTTTCCATGGCGCGCGGCAGCCCACACCGTGTCGCGCACGGCCGACGGCGCGGCCGCGGCGCCCCGCCCACGCGGGCGACGGGCGAGACCGCCCGCGCGCGGCGGGGAAAAGGCCCCGCCCCACGGGCAGGCGGGAGGCCCCCACCGAACGGAGCCGCCCCCGCGAAGGGGGAGGCCGAACGGCAGGGCCACCCGCGCGCCTAAGGGGCAGGGCAAAAAAAGGGCCCGGACCCCGGGACCCACGAAACGACGACGAACGACAACGACGACGACACGACACGACGGGGAGAAGGACCGCCAGTCCCACCCCAAGGCGGCGAGTGCGGGGAGTGAACTCCCGCACCGCCCTGGGGGAGGCCACGGGACCTGGCAGCCCCCCGGGAAGGAACGCCCGGGTGCGGGGGCTTGGACCCCGAAGGCCCGGTGCTCCCCGCCTGCACCAAGGGGCACTTTGGCCCGACACCCCGCTTAGGGGGTGCCCCTCCGGGGCAGGCTTCGAACGGGAGCGGCAACTTTTTTTTTGGAGGGGGCTTGTTTCGGCGCGCCGAGTCGTGAGCGCCTTTCCTGAGTTCACCGCGCACCAAGCCCAACCCGAAGGCCCCAG